TCGGGCGCGGCTGGCTAGTAGCCATACATGGGCACTTCCGTCCGTTCATTCGTTCGTTCGTTTCGTTCCAACTGTTTATGCACGTTTAACCGTTTAAACGGTTAAACGGGTTTTTTCCTTTTTCTCGAAAATCTTTCATGTTTCTGATATCGGGCTCCCAAAACCCTTATACCAAAAACCCCAAAACCCCGTCTTTTTCCTTTTTCAATATGTCATCTGACACATCGTCTATTATTGATGCTACGGAAACCCCCAAGATATCAATGGATTACCGAAACTTCCTCTCTGAACGGTTTGGGCCCTTTCCCTCCACTCTAGTACGGGGGGTTGAGATGGGTCGTGTACGGTCATCTAAAAAGAAGCTCACCCCACCTCAGATAGTTGCAGCGCAGGGCCTCCTCTCCCAAACTTAACACCCTACACTCTTAATTATGTAGATCACGAAGGAGCGTTCAAATACACGCGGACGCAAGTCTGGAAGGGGAAAACCTTCTATGCTTGCACCGTGTGTCGAGATCCCCATACGACCATAAGGTAAATGCTGCCCAAACACGTCAGAAACAATCATCCCGTCGCATCCAGATCCACCAGGTCCGTAACGGGTACCCAGCGCCTTGATCCCCGGGAAAAGCATCGCGTATATCCAAACCCGAAGGCCCGGAAAGGGAAAGGCACGAAGATACTATTGCCTCGGCCACAGCATTCTGGCAAACGGAATTTAATCACGGACCCCCGGAAAATCCCTCTACTCCTACGGCGATGCCCCCCCCACCCTAACCAAAAACCCGGGAAACAACTCGCAAAACTAAAAGGGAAACTGGAGGTTAGGACTATTAATGCGAGGGGTTAGTGATGGTTTTACTAGCTTCATTAACGGTATGGCAACAGATATCCCTCCGGATTGTACGCCTCTGGGGGGTTTTGGTGTCAACCACAGCAGAAAAGGAAAAAAACCCAAAAATTAACCGCATAGCGATTAATTTTTGTCTATCCCCGCGGAGTCATCGGGCCGGAAAAGGGGCGTTTTCTAGGGCAAGAAGGATATGTTCATGGGGTGAAATTTCGAATCACATGTAAAACTATCGAGATGATTGAATGTACGGCAATTCGCGTGGATCATACGGGCCCCTCCATGAAAAACGGGATGGGTTTTTAAACAGAATCCCACGGCCGGAAAGGTGACTCTCAGGATGTTAGGGGTGATGGGGGGCATTATTTCGACTGGTAAGAGAAGTAGGCGCTGTGGATTTTCTACCCCTATAAGTCGTTCTTCGTTTTGTTTTAAAACTTTCTTCGATCGTTTAGCCCCTTTGCAATATTTTTAAACCGTTCAACCGTTTGAGAAATTTTCGACCGTTTATACGGTTTGCCCATGTATGCTAGTAGCTGCCAGGACGTCGAGTCAGCGTAGGCCTAGTGCCTTGTGTAGATATCTACGAATCGCTACATCACCGAGCAGCGAGTTATCTTATGTTTGTCAGTAATCCAACGCAACTCTCCCAATCCGTGCGCCCAATATCTTAGATGTTAACATCGCTTCACAGTAATATCATCTAACAGTAACTTCAATTAGAACATAATTTAGCGAACGGAAATTTCAAGAATAATTGTCGGTCTGTAGGAGCGCGCGCGAAGGAGCTGCTACAACGCCAAAAGGCTAAGATAAATAGACTTTGTGGGGAGTCTAGGCAGGCAAAGGAGAAGGAGAAGGAGAATAGGCGTCAGGCAAGGGCTGCTGAACAGGCCTCTAGGGCAGCTGCTCGCAGGACTGCAAAACGACTTCAACAAGCTCTTAAAACTTTGCAAAAGAGTAAGAAGCGCAACCTTAAGGCTTCTGCAAAAACTGCTTTTTAAAAAAAGAGCTGTTGTAAGGCCTGCGGGTAGTAGAGAGCCTCAAGGTGTTGTTGCAAGCGCAGTACCTCTCAGGTCACGACGTAGCCGCAACATTAACCCTTCTACACGATATCGATAGCGCGATATATTTCTTAGCCTCTATTTATCTCTCTACCAAAAAATCTCGCGATAATAGCTATTGTGTAAGGCTCTACAGCCGCAAGTTGTAGGGCTGTTTAGATGTTCGAAGTGCGCGTTGGTGCGTCACACATGGTAAGAGGTTGTTCATCGCAGCTTAGGTGTACTACTAAAGCTAAAATCATCCGCTAATGAGACTCTCTTAATTTGTTCAATCAGGTTCCTTAACCTCGCTTTCTCGGGATCCTTATCTTTAACGTTGAAGATAGGGATAGGCCAGGAGCTATCATTTGTTAACTAACAGGACTACAAAACAAATAAGTGCAGTAGTGGGCAATATACACGCATACCTATGAACATGGCTTATTAATGCTTGCTCGTCTACAGCATTGTCTTCTAGGCCAGAATACGCCTGTAGCAGTCGTAAGTCACGCGGAGACATTCGCATGCTTAAAGCATAATAAGCGAGCTTCGAGACGTGGAATGCTTTCCTATAGCTTTTCAGACCATTGAGGCACAGAATGAGGGTTGATTGGAGGGCTTCAACGCTAGCGTTGTCCAGCTGATTGCTGCTAAGGCCTTCAAGAGCTAAGTTGCCAATGTAGACCATGAAGACCATCATGGTATTAGTGAAGCAGTCGAAGCTATGACGGAGGTAATAAATTCGCAGGATGGTCTCCATTCGAATGTTCGATTCGAGAATCCTCCTCGCAGACAGGGATCTATCTGCCCCGGTTCTGCCTCGTTGGAACAGCTCGACAATGATGCTGTGATATTCAAGGCTGCATCTCTTAGCTTTCAATAGTTAGAGTGCATAATCGTTTACTTACTAAACTTCTAGCTGCGGTGGAAAAACGATGTTCCTCGCCTGCATAGCCGGCGGCAGGTTCTGAAACCAATTCTTTAGTCTGTTCTCTATTTGCAGTATAGTACTAAATAGAAGCGGATCTTCAAATCCATTCCGACTTCAAACTTTGTAAACAACATCGTTCTTGATCTGACTGAGATGTCTCCTTGCGGTGATAGTGTGAGCGTAATAGGCAGGCACGGTCGACGTGGCGAGTGGGTAACGTAGCCACATCTCATCATGGAAGCCCGGGTCTGTCAAGGGATCCGGAAACAGCATCTCAGGTGGGTCCTTTAATAACGGCATTCGGAACATGTGATATGCTTCAAACAAACACTAGAAGTACCAAACTAATACGTCAGCGTGGTCCACGTCGAAAATAGCTCTGAACACCACTAACCCAGTCAAAAAGCCCCCATGCCGACAGTATACGTGCATTCCGCATTCTCCTACTTTTGATGTGTAAGAGGCTGAAGCCTTAGTTAGTAGTACTTGGCCTGTGGCCTTCGTTATAGCTGGTTAGGATAGGCTGCAACCCTCGGAGCGTTGTCGGGGCTTCATCGGCGCTCCACGGACCCTTAGAAGTTTCTGGAACCTAGCACTACGTGATACATAGACTCAGCGCAAGCGTAGTGTAGCTTCTCTATCGAATTCATTACTGTTATACCTTGCACTTATGGTCAACCCATCGCACCCTTACAAGGAAGCACTGCGAAGAATGACACTAATTAAGCAACACATTTCGAAGTGACGTTGACTAAGCACGCGAGGTGTGCAATTGGCGTAAATACACCGCGCTTCCATGCGTCTAAATAGCATAAGCACTCAGCAATTTCCTAATACATGTTTGCTACTAGGGCCGCCCAAGGCACTCCTGCAGCTTCTGCTGCCTTATTATTGCTCACTCTTGCGACTTTACTCTTTGGCACAGACGGCCCAATGTCAACACCTGGCGACTCCGCCGCCTCTGTAGCCAGCGCAGTACTCTTACGCTTCCGACCACGTCTCACTGTACTTGTCGCCGTAGCTTCGACTGCCTCCTGCGTAGCATCCTTGCCCTTCTAACCACGTTTCCTTTCAACTTTAGCCTCGTAGGCAGCGTCCATTTCTGCGCGTTTTAACTGTTTATCTTGAACCAGCATTAGGGCACTTGTAGCGAAACAAATTATCCAATGTCGCTACCCTAGTCGGTACTTCCAGTCTAAGCGAGCTCTACATTCAGCTAGCTTAGTAGGCCACGTAATCACTTCCGCGTAACTTACATTTGTCATCCGATAAGCGGGCGCTAAGGCGCGGTCAGCAGAAACAGTAACGTTAAGGCTAATGATCAGTCATCATATCTCGTTGTGCCGCGGTACATCACCTTATCACCGTCTGTCAGAAAGTAATCACTAAGACCGCCGCGAGTGTTGACTTTTTTGAAGTTTGAATGACGGCTGCCTACCATACAATCATTTATAGGTGATTGACATCTTACTGACTTCACCTCGATCGAATTCATAACAGCACGTTAACTTTACGTCGCACGAGAGACTGTTCAGTCCAAAGAAGTACATTCCGCAATGCTATAAAAGAACAATTTGAGGTTTGCAATGACAGCTGTCTACTACAGCTAGGTAGGTACCCCGTGAGTATGGCGCACTTTCCCTGATGTGTAAGCTCTTGGCCTGCAATTAGTAGTGAGCTCTGCACGAGCGGAACAAAGGGTACTGATTTCTAAGTGTTAAGTGAACTTACGGTGCACAATCCAGGTGCCTGAAACAGCGCTACCGGCGAGTATAGCGCACTTTTCGTGTTCAGCAAGCTCCCGCCGGACATTTAGTTAGTAATAAGCCTTGCATGAGCAGAATAGACACCGCTGATTTTCAGGGGTTTGGTGACGTTACGGCGCAAAACCCAGTTGGTTCCGCTTGTCCCTAGTACTTCTAAGGCCTAGTTCGACTCGACTTCCGTAAGTCACCTACGTAGACTATCGCAAGTATAAATCTCCTACTCTGCCTTCGTTGTACTCTTTTTCCCAAATCTTGTTATCACTTTCCCAGTGCCAAAAATAACCATAGACGCTTTTAAGAAGAAGACTCTCAAGACCTCAAGAGGCTACACATACACCTACTACACCTCCACAGGCGACAAGAGTCTCCCCGCCCTCTTCTTCCTACACGGATAGCCCGACCACGCTGCCATGTGGGCGGACGTCGCTGGCCCCCTTCGCTCCTCAAAGTACCCTATCATCGTCCCAGACATGCTAGGTTACGACGGTACTGACAAACCCACTGATACCTCTGCATACCGCTGGGACGGCATGGCCAAGGACTTGATTGAAATCATCGAAGCAGAGCAACACGAGAAGGTGGTATCCATTGGCCACGACTGGGGTTCCGTTGCCGCCAGTCGATTGTGCCAACACTACCCAGACCGAGTCGTCGGACTCATCAATCTCAATGTACCATATACTCCTCTATTCTGCCAACCTTTCGACCTCAAAATGATGAACGACACGACTAAGGAACACTTTGGATACCGAATCTTCTCTTACTGGGAAGTTTTTACCGCCGACGACGGCGCAGAAATCATAGACAAGAATCTAGAGCGTTTATATAGTGCTATGCATGGCCAAGGAGAAACAATGAAAGACCTTTTCTGCACGCCAGGTGCATTGCGCGAGGTACGTCACTTTACATCTATACGAATTACTCAAATCGCAAAAGGCCTCCACCAAGACCAAACTAACTACACAGTCATGTATGACTTACCACAACTCCCGCTAACCTCAAACTAGTACATCATTAATAGTGCTAAGACCCCCATAAGCCTACGTCCCTACGCCAAATCACCTGCCTTCAAATCCGCCTTTCTCTCCCGATTCACCCGCGACAGCATGGCCGCACCCTTCAATTGGTACAAAGCTAATATCACCAACGTGCAATACGAAAGTGACAGGGTGCTCCCTAATACAGCTGACAAACTTGACATCCCCGTGTTGTATATCGGCGCTACGGAAGACTTGGTGTGTAGACCAGAAACACTGATCCCAAGTATTCAGCAGGGGTTGTTGCCGCGCCTAGAGCAGGCGGAGATGGTAGAGGCAGCACATTGGGTGACATATGAGAACCCTGGGCCGGTGGTAGAGAGGATTAGGGGGTGGTTGGGAAGAGAGTTTAGAAGATAGGGAGTTCTTTGAAAAGAAGAGGATTTGATGCGGAAATATCATAGGTTGCGTATTTGATGGGTTCTGTGATGTTTGTTTCCAAGTGCTTGTGCTGAGCATAACTCCTGTCTCATCCATGTTGTACACATTTCCTAGCAGAATAGCTGGATTCTGCAACACCTCGCTAATCACTATAAACCACTCTGTGACCTTATTATATATCTGAGTCTTATGGCGTTTCTAGTCTATCGACTGGACTCTTCTCGCCTTGAGCTTAAGATAGCGTTTCTCGAAGCCTCGTGGCCAGTTCTTGCCCGGCGGCTTAATTGGCTTACTCGCCTTCAATCGTTAGCAGGCGATGCAATAGGCAAGCGATGGCATATACTTAATGCGGACAGGTTATCTAAAACTACGCATTAGTAGCAAGAACGCGACAAGAGCCTTTTCTTTCTCTACGGTAAGGTATTGCTAGCCGTGTGCCTTATCTTCTATTAAGGGCCGTCTGTGGGCCTGACTGTACAGCGTCGTAATAGCAACATCGCGCCAGTCTGCTATAGCAGCCCATGTACCGCATACTTCTAGAGGGCCTCTGCCGGGACCTTGCTAGCTTTATCCATGATGTTGTTCGTACTTTGTATAGTCGATCGTGCGTCTATCGTCCGTCTATTGTGCGTCAATCGTGCGTTAATCATAGTGCAACGGGAACCAGCAACTAGCCACACACGGTGCGCGTAGGTTTAGTTACCAGAAATAGCGCTTTGTTTATAGATGCTTCTAGAAAGGTAGGCGTTCTGGGGATGAGCTTATGGTATTGTATTTTATACGAAGCGTACGCTGTTTCGGGGTAAGCGAGGCTTCAAACTGTTACCCTTTTAGAGACTTCAGAGCACGCCACAACAGGATAGGATAATCCTTATATGCTAAGATTGCATCTTTGGCCTGTATTTCATCTCTTAGACTCTCTAAGCTGCGTAGCGCTGTCTTCGATCATGGCCTAACAGGGGTAGAAATGTGGATTGGTATAAGAGCCCTTGAACGAAACCATGAAAAGTCTAGGTTAGAACTACGTAATTCTCGAGTTAGAGACTGAAATACGACAGACGATACAGTAGAGATAAGATTCTGCATGGCTGTATCTTGAAAGAACTGTGTGGAAAAACATGCGATGCTGTTGTGGAGATTCTATTCTTGCACAGGATGCTTTCCGTTACGTAGGGATAGACATTATCCCTAAGATGTGCAGACCCTTTCCACCTTTGTACGCGCTTGCATCAACGGCGTTCTTCCACCTAATACTCACTCTGATTGCTGAATTTGCCACTGCTTGGTATTTAGATCAGTTACAATGTGCTCGAGAAGGACGTGATAGATCTAACGAGGGATTAACGGCGGGTCTGCGGAGCTGGAGGGCGGCGCGACGGTTTGTCTCTATGGCATGTAAGCGTTCGCATTAGCTATGATCGTGAATTACATTGCGCCTCGAAGTTGCACGATAGCTGTATCGGTAGCTGATTGCGGTTTAGTGCTGGGTGTGTTCGTCGGCATAAGCTATACGTAAGGGCAAAGCAATTCGGTACTTCGGCGGGGGACAAATCTCAAAAACGGGGGACAAATCACGCCAGCCAGCTGAGCTAGGATGCTACAAACAATACAATACATACACTCTCTTCTAATGATTCTGTCTACAATACCCGCACCCAACCGTGCGACACATGATTCACCAGCCTTGCCTAGTTGCTCTTTTCCTCGCAGCAAGCATCTCAGAGACGACACGCCTAGCCCGCTGCCTAAGCTAAATTCGCGCGGCCGCTAAATCAAGATTCTTCAAAATTTAAAGAATAAGGTGCGTCCCTAACTTACCAGATTCTCAATGCCAAGCGGATCGCAGTACTTCCACACCTCGTTACGCTTAGCGAGATCTTCGATGGTTGTACCAATCGATCCAATCGCTGCGAGCGTTGAGCATCGGCAGATTGTGTTCTCTTGCCGACATGGTAGATTTTTGTTAATTGTTTCTTCATAATTGTCTTCTTTTCTTTTAAGGTAGTTGCTGCTGTTCAACCCTCAAGTGTTCTAACAATCGCGGGGATGCGGGGTTGCGGATGCGACGACTCCTCACTTTCTGTTGGGATCCGCGCTGATAGCGCTTGGCCTGCGACAAGATAAAATGTGATCAATCTCCACCTCGCACTGCCAAGCAGGCTGCAGCGTCTGTGTCGAGAAGTTCAAATATTTGCTGTTACTTTGTCTCTCTCTACCTCAACCTTAACTTTCCTAATTACTATAGTAGTCGATAGTTGCAACTATGAGTTCGCTGTTGCTCACAACACCACCCAACACTTTACCGCCTCTTCTGCGACTTGCATCTGAGTTGCATTTAGCGATCATCTCGTTTCTTCCAGATCTCAAGGACGCCAAAGATGAAGATGATCTAGCACTTCTCCAACTTCGCCAAACAAATCATTACTTTCGCAACCTTGTACCTCCTCCGACCCACAACGATCTTCTCTCTCTCGAGTTAGCTTTGTTTAAATACTTAGTATACGCCTAAAATGCTAGAATGAGGTGGGCATCTTTTTCCTCCGTTCCTAATTCGCACCAGTTAGACTCCAACTGCAAGGCTAAGAGCCTGAACGCGCGAAAGTGTTCGGATGTCTAGATGTTTAGATCCTGATAGAAATCGTGGCTTCTAGGTTGAACGGTTTAGGAGCTAGAGTAGAATGGAAAGTCTGCTTAGCCTCCCCTCCAACGATCTCGCCGGTTTATCGATATGGCCCGTAGATCGAGTTGCAGTGCCAATCTAGGTACGTTGCCCTGCTGTTCCTATACCGCAAGGAGGTAAGCTAAGACATTGTCTTATTTTTAAAATAGCACTAAACTAAGCTGACATAAGATCAACGCGTTGTTGGACTGCTTAGCGCGTGTTCGGACGTATCGTGAGCCGTTGGCTTCTCCGTACTTCTTCTGTACCTGCTTTCGCTAGATAACGCTATAGCTATGCCGCAAGCAAAGCCTAACATAACTACTGCTCTAAGCAGCTTACATTACGGTCGGTGATAACCCCGAATTTTAGATGGGGTTTGTGGGTTCTTCGCCGAGCCTTCTCTATCCTGCCGAGCTGTCGATTAGCTCGTTAGCGACCCTAGAAGCCGCGCGTTATCCAATACATGCTCTACATTTTAATCTGCTAATTACAAGCTCCGCTCTCATCTCATACGTTCTAAGCCAAATAGCCCTGCTTCGCAAGGCAATAGAGTTTATCGTGATGAGACAGTAATCACCGCTCTTGGGTACGATTCTGATATGTCACCTTCCATGTTCGCGTTTCGTCCGTCAAGTGCCGGGAAGCAGAGGAAGGGCATCGTGCATTTCGGCTTTGAGATACAGCATCGAGGCTTAGTCGAGCGTAGGATTGAATGCTTGGCACTACTGCCATCGAGCTCACGACAACAATGTATAGTCACTATTTCCATGTTTACCTTGCACGGAGGGATTCTTTTCGATAGCAGTGAGATGGGCGCGCGCGCAGCGATTCCTCTTCGACATGCTCGGTGTAGCGAGTATGTTCATTTTCCCGGCTGCTGTCAGCTAAGCCACCTTGGGTATCTCTTTTTTCTTTACCTGGCAATATCTCCTGAAGATCCGTGGTGCGCATCCGTTGCTAGCGGTCGCGTATTCCTCGCTTTGTTAAACTTAATGCTGTGGCTTCCGTCTCCACGGGTTCATCATGCACCATCTAGACCCTCGATTGTATGACATGCGCTATGGTGACTTTTTCTTGTAGGCAGCTTCCTTATTGCTTTTTTGGCCGGCGGATGAGAACTATCGGTTCAACTGTACGTCGCTATGCTTCTTATGCCTTAGGGTCTTGACCCTCGTGCTTTTCGAAGCGCTTCCGCCGAGCTGCAGGGAGTCGCCGTAAGTTGATCAACATTGTGGTTGACTACAGAATCGGTCTTTGGTTTGCTAGCCCAGCTGAACTAAATGTCCATCGCGGCGGCGCCGATGTGGAACTAGAGTACCGAGGCGCAATGCACACAGCCCTGGAGCCATTGGATTTGCAGGTCTTGGTCTGTGCGTTTCCATCAGTCGCTTTGGATGCGAGTGGCACGAGAAAGGCAAGCAGGTATTGGGGACTGCGACGCCAGAGCCGGGACCAGGCGCTGAGGTGTAGCCTATGTTTTTGAACTAGGTGGTATAAGAGCAGAGGACTCGAAGCTCTGGATGACGCCTAGTGCCGTGCGCTGGAGTTGAGGGACAGGCGTGGAGAGAGCATCTTCTTCAGATCTAGGCATCAGCTAGTTGTCGCAGTGCATGACTAATGAGGCTCCGTCGAGTGGCTGAAGGCAGACATGGGCCAATTGTCGTAATGGTGATTGCCGGCCGGGGAAAGGATGACGTCGTGTCGTGAAGCTAGTCACGTCCACTAACCGAGGAACGTGTGTTTTCTCCAGCAAACCAACCCTCTCTTCTGAATTCGACCCATCTGCCAGGTTTGCAAGCTTTATCTATACTTTTGAAATACCTCATCAATTCAATTGACTCCGTCTTGTTGAGATACACGCACCACACGAAATATACAACAGCTACAAGCTCTAAGCTATAGCGCCGAAACCCCGCAAATACCTACCGCTACATAAACACCTACCACGAAACCAGCCATGTCCGCCATCCGTGCCTTCGCGACCCGTCGCACTCCCTTTGTCTTCGTCCAGCGTGCGGCTTTCTCGCAATTAATAGCTCGCTCCTCTAGCAAGGAGTCCGCTCTCCGTACGTCCGCACCGCCAACCTCGGCCTAGCCTCCACACCGCTAAACGCGTGCCAACACATACACTGAAAATAGAGAATCTAAGCTGACACAAATGACCAGACTCCGAGAACCGTGCCGAGGAGGTCGAGAAGAAGAAGCAGGAGTAGCTGCAGAAGCAAAAGGAGAACAAGGGACACTGGGAGGAGCAGCTTGCCAGTGACAGCGAGAGCGCTGTAAGTTGGATATTCCGCCCTAGGAGTAAGGCAGAACTAGGCTGTGAGGGCATTGGCTAACGGAGAGTATAGCTCAAGGCGGATCGTTCCGAGACCAGCAAGGACACCCAGCAGCAGATCAAGGAGTTGCAGGAGGAGGCGAAGAAGGTCAACAAATAAGTAACATAAAGAGGAACCACGGGCTCGAAATAGGAGACTTGTTCCTTGCGGGCTACAAGGAGACGCCAGGCGCTAGAGCATCGTGCTCGTGTTGGGATAGAGCGCTGCAAGGGAAATGGGACAATAGCAGTGTGAGCTATCTTGCGATATCAAAACGATATAATCCAATCAACCATAATCCACAAACACCGTTGTTTCATTATTACAAGAAACATGTTACCTGCAGCCGACCCTGCTTTTCCCATAATAGCTGACATCCATTATAGAACGCCATTTAGCTGATAGCTCAACGACGAACAACTTACACCACGGACCCGCCGAGACGCAATGAATAGCCTAGCATAAGCATAAACCTTGCCCGCCATCCAAAAAAAAAGAATCAACATAAAAATACAGTCTATCAAACGTCTCTCCTATAAAATCCACTTCAAGTACTGAAATCACCAAACCTCCCCATCCTACCACCTCTCCGCCTCCTCACCTTTCAACTCCCCAAACAAACAACGTACTCACAAATAAGCGACACCGCGAACAACAACCAGCATCCCTTCTAAACCCGACACAGCCTCCCACTATCAAGATCATACTCCTACCTCTCTGTCCCCACACCAGCAAGCACGTACAAACTGCCACTCGGATCATACTTTCTTTTCACCTCGCCCAACCTCTTATAATTGCTGCCCCCACCATAAAACACCTTTTAGAACCCTGCTACATAGGGATTCGCCTCATTCATATACGCACCTAACCCCAGCGCCCAATTCTCCCACATCGGCTCTTTAACCCTCGCATGCTAATCTGCTCCTATCTTCAGCGCTTTCTTCGCGGACCCCGCTGTCTTGGAATCCACGGTCTCGCCCGTCGCGATAAAATGCAGGTATGCGCTTCGCCACCCGGGGTGTAAAGCGCCCTAGTGGGCAGACGGGGTAGAGTGCACGCCGGGGCCGCCGGAGAGGCCGATAGTCGCGTAGTTGCCGGGGTTGGTAGTGTTTTAGGACGCCATTGCGGTTTCTAGGTACGACACGATTTGCGCGTGGGGTGTGTGGGTTAGCTCTGGGCGGCCGAGGAGGCGCGAGGAAGTTAGCGATTCGCCGCCTGCGACGTTGTCGCCGGAGATGACGGCGAAGAAGGATGTATAGTTTGCCAAGGTTGAGGTTGTTATTGCTGTGTTGATAAGGGAGGTGTTTGTGCTGCTGGTGTTGTTGCACTCTGAGAGCAGTTTTGTCAGGATGGGTTGGACTAGCGCTTCGACGGCGGCGGGCGTGGTATTGAAGGCCCAGAAGACCTGGTTGACTGCGATGCCAGTGAATGGGCCGGAGGAGACGTCGATGTCTGGGAAGAATTTCCCTGCCGTGCTGCCTACTGCCAACGTTGCGGCGCCCGCGAGTCTGGCGTCTATCAAGTCGGGCAAGGCACTGAGCCAAGTGGCTGCCGCGGACCAGGAAGCTTCCATACTGGCATTCGTGCTGCCTTGAGGCTTGATCTGGACAGTTGCCATAATCACGTTACTTGGAGCGGGATGATGCCTAATCACATATTCCGTCACAACACCATACTGTCCCGCACCACCGCCACGCAGCGCCCAGAAGAGATCCTGGTTCTGGGCTTCGTTGGCGATGAGAACGCGGCCCGTGGTGGTTACAACCGTCATTTGGCGAACGTGCTAAGATGCGAGACCGTAGGTGGATGCCAGTGGACCATGGCCTCCGCCTTGGATGTAGCCGCCTAACCCGACACTGGGGTCCTGGCCAGTTGTCACGATGCGGCCTTGGCTTGTCGCGAACTTGAGGACGTTGCCCCATTGCTGGCCGCTGCCCACGATGAAGACGTCTTCTGCTGGGAAAGAGCTGTTAGCGGGTTTCCAGGTGGCGTCGCGGGTTAAATTGCGGAAGTTGCGCGTCCAGATGGATAGTGAGAAGGCACCGCTTGATCTATACAGGTTGTCGTTAGTTTTCCCATTTTCAACATGCTCGAAGTGAGTGATACGTACCGTCCGTTCAGATCATGACCTGTCCCCTTGACCACAATCCGTATATTGCGATCAGCAGCCCACTTCATCGCAACAGCCACGTCCGCCTCCTGTGTCGTATTGACAATGTACTGCGGCAGCGCACCTATCTTGCAGCCCTGCGCCTTCGAATAACTCCCCACCTCATCTGGCAGACAAGAGTTATTTGCATACAACTGGTAGTCAATCGATTCTGGCTGCTGCGAATGCCAGGTTCCGTTCGACCAGTTGTCGTTGACTTCCTGGCAGGACAAGGGAGAGTCGAAGGTGCCGTTAGTGCCGGGCCAGCAGGACGATGCAACGGGTACGGTGCGTATCAACGTCCCGCTAATTGTATCGTTGAGAGTCGACCATTCGGATGGCGTGGGCCAGGATGCATCTGAGGGTGTTGAACGGCAGAATGGTGGTGTTGCTGCTGCGCTTGCGAGAGCGGGCGCTGCGAGGGAGAGGAGTCGCAACATGATGAAAATCCGGGCACAGAAGGAAATCAAAAGGAATGACTGTTTTAGTATACATCAAACGTGTACGGCATCTACATATTTATATATGATGTTGAGATTTGGTGCGGAGTGGTTTTCGTATCACTTCTCTTTTTCTCTCTTGTTCGTATTCTCTCTCTTTTCGTATTTTGCGCGCTCTCAGGGACTTCGCCACAATGGGGTTTGTCAAAGCACACTGCGAAGCCACTGCAATGCCCCAGCTTTTCTTTAGCGCGTAGAAAGATCTGGGTATCTTGGATGGATCTGCATCAGATTAAAATTCGCCGAGTGTTAGTTGCAACGAAGTGCGTAATGCGATAGCGCATGGTGCCGAAGACGACCGTTGATGTGCCCACAAACATGGTGTATGACTATGTAGACAATGAAACTTGAATCAGAAGCTACACTAATAACGAGTCGATGGGATGCAATAGTAGTGGCAATTATCATGCCTATCTTGTGAAGTTGCAGTAGCAGAGTGTTGGAGACTTGTTGTAGTGCGCCCGCGATACATTTTTTCATATGCTTTTACAAGGCTGCTCTGGTGTCGATTATTTGAAAGAGGATGAAATAAAGAGATTAGCGAAAGAATGAAGATGAGCGAAACGCCCCTATATACACGAGGTGGTTGGTGCCCAGCCTCCCACATTTCAACATCAACAAAGGAAAACTTTTGGTTGCCTCCCTGCCTCAAGATAGACGTCAATCTAGCTTCACGACTTCAACCCATTCTACCGAGATAGGACCAACAAGTCCGTAGGCCTAAGGAGGGTTCGCTTGATAATAGGTTCCAGCGGTGAAGGATGCGCTAATGCCGAGAGACTCAATAGATTTACTGTCGGCCCGAACCCGGTTGTAAAGGTTCGACGCTACCTCCGCAAAAACCACGTTTGGCATGCCTGACGGGCTGAGGTAGTTTGTGATGTCAACAACAATATCCGCAGCACTCGTCGGGTCTACAAACACCCTGGCTCCGTTCACCCAAAGACGTACGGAATCCTTGATAGCACCGAGGTGTAAGCGAGCTCCCAATGCCTGGTTGGTTTCCATCGTTGGGGTGGCAAATTCGGTGATGTAGTCTGCTGTACCACTCACGTCTTCGAGGAGAGTAGCGTTCAGGTCCTTCCATGGAAGCAACGGACTCTCAGGAAACTCGTGGCGCGTGATCTTGGTCTTGATGCTGTACTGGTCATCGTCGCTTTGCCAATCATGGATAGTAATGTTCCAAAACTTTAATGGTGTTGCGACAGGAGGGGCGGCGTCGAATTTGTAGGTCCGGGCGTTCGAGAGGGTTATCTTGGAGTGACCGCGAGAGAGATAGGCATGGATCTCGCTGCAATTGCCACCGCAATCCGAATGTAAAAAGCCCTCGACATGGCCCAATGCTGAACGTACCACATGACGTGGTGGCTGCGGTAGACCCGATACGTTCGTGGTACCCTCGGTCTTCCTGGTAAAAGCGATAGACATTGTCTGGTTGGCGTCGAGTGTAATCGCAGCTATGATTCTGTCGGCTTTGGTAGTGTACTGCACCAATGGAGTGGCAGCACCGGTCCACGCGTTGAGGACGTAAGGTACTGCTTCAGCCACACCCTCAAACTTAACATCAATAGTCTCTGTGTTAACCCCGTCGTTGTAGAGAAAGACGATCTCGTTATTAGGCGTGTTCCTCCTGAACGAGTACCACCTCGACTTCTCGCTCGGATGACGAATCAAGGTCCTTGGGCGTATCTTCTTGGCGACCAGGGCATTCGGGAGTTGTTTGGCAGAAGACAAAACTATTACGTTCTTGTGTGTTGCCAGAACATTCTCCATAATACGCGACACGACGGCTGACTCGTTGCCTTTCATGCCCGCGCTGTGGAAATCTGTTCGGCCAATCACAAAGACTGGGAATCCGGCTTCTGCAAAAAGCTTCATTTGCTCTGCCACCTCGACCGTCAACTTCGTCTGGTTGGCGAAAACTAGTGCTTTGTAAGAAGGCCCTCCGAGAGTAAGCGAGCTGCTGTCGATTGTCGCATTGCTGTCGCTAATGCTTCGAGGGCCAAGGAAGTCGTATGTGAAACCGAGATGCTCCAGGTTGTTGCTTTGATAAGCAGTTCCTGAAAAGGACGCCTCATGCATGTAGAAAGCGATGTCGACTTGAGGTGTGCCTGTTTGACCAAGGAGTTGGTTCCTGGAGACGTACGCGATGGTGTCGTTCATGTGCGTCCAGGCCGGCATACACGGCCCCCACATATCGGTGATTGTGTAGGCAAAGACCGTGTAACCAGGCCATGTTGTGTTGAAAGCGGGTCCTGAGTACGCATATCCATGGAAGACATTCATGGTGATGCCAGTCGCCATGCCACGTCGCACATGCCAGAGCAGGTCTTGTATGCTTTGAGTATAACCAGCCGTCTTCTTGGCACCACATTCTGAAGATATGATAGAGTTCCCGGCCATATGTGCGGGGCCTGCCATGTAGCGGAAGAGATCGGGGTCATCGTTGAAACCCAAAGACTCTCCCTCAGGTGTGTCGATCAGACCGACAGAATCAAGCAGCGTAACAGTAAGTATCAGAGTATTAATATGGCATACGGGTACTCACCAGATTCAACGGGAGGTTATAGGCGGGCTGGTTGGAGTACCGAAGACCTTTGGAGTGGGCCCATTCACTCATGTATCCCATGTACTTCTTATACCCTTTCTGCAAAACAATCCGGTAATCGTCGTTGCAGCGATCACCATAAGTGCTGTTTTGCGATTCAAAGGTCTCTCCGTAGGGAATAGTTTGAGACGCCCAGAAAGTGTCGGTCCGGATGAGAAGAGGCAGGCATTTGCGGATGTTGTATCCTCGGTCGGTGCGAAATTGTTCGAAGAATCCGTGTGTCCACCAAAGTGCAGAGTTCATTTCCATACTGTCTTGCCATGCTAGAATTGCCGTCAGAATCTCACAGATCCAGCATATAAGGGGTCTTAGACTCACCATTCTGTCCAACCTTAGACAACAGCTCCTGGTCTTGTTGCTCCGGGACGAGGTATTCGTCGAAAAACTTCGTCAGACGCTCAGCGCCTGCGGGGCTGAACCAATCAATGATCCACGATCCATTTTGGACGAAGTTGACAGCGTCTGGTCCTCCATTAATGGATCTTTGGTTCGTGTATCTCTGATACCATGCCATGATCCGCCACTGTGACAAAGAGTCCTTCGGGGGTTGCCAGTCTAGATGCCTCGATGTCAAGTCTACTTCCTCTGACAGGTCAATGATACGACCAACATCGACCACGTGAGGACTTGAAGTAGAGTTCGTTACGACTTCTACTGCTATGACTGTTGTCAAGTTCTGTTGACCAAACTCCTGTAGGGGATGCATGAAGTACTCCAAATTCGCGTCGCTCGGCTGCGTTGAAAGCGGCAACGTCCCGTTGAAGTGTTGTCCATGATTGATAGTAATGTTGACATATGCCTACAAAGTTGAAGTTAGCTTTCAGTGTCTTGGTATACAAGAGCTAGAGGAAAAACGGAAGGATTCAACGAACCAGTTCCAAGGCCAAGCCCACACTGCCAGCCTCGGCCGGGACACCCTGTCCTTGGTTTGCACCAACGGCAAAATCGAAGAAGATTCCCAGCTCATCGGCGGCGCTCATGGCGGCTCTCATGACGGTACGAGAAGCTTCGGATCCAAATCCATACTCTGACCAGTTGGTCGATGGGGCACCGAATTGGTAATATGGAAGGAACTCCAAACCGCCACTGCCGACCGCAGCGATTTGGCCAACATCTTTCTTGACAGAATCGATGTCAACCTCAGCATCAGGAAGCCAGTATCGGAATTTTGGCCTGTATTCCAGAGGTGGATCCTCAAAGTCGTCAAGGATATGACCAACAGCCCTCGCTGTGAGAAAAGAAGAGAGAACGAGTGGAAGAATGGAATGTCGCATGTTTAGCCAGTGTATTGTCGAGTTCTTTGGCTATGATCGTGAAGCTTTTAGGATAGACAACGCTTTTATAGGAGCATGGCGACATGCTCCCAGTTATGGTCATCCCGTCATTAGGACAAGAGCTAAGGCCTCGCTCAGGCTCTCTGTGAAGCCTGGGCAGGAACCGTATACGATGTCGTTATTATTGTCCGATGATGAGCTAGCTGAGTCAGTCCTAATGGTTACGGTTACGCAGTGCTGTATTCGACGGAACAAAAAATGCGCATAAGATCGCCGGAGTTATCGCTGCAGGAACCGCCTTTGTGGAGAGCGATCCTTGTGGAGACAAATCTCGGGGATATCTAAACACATTACGCCACCCGCAGTTCAGTTACGTAGTGTCTTTAGCGTAATGCGCCATGGCCCGTAGGTTCGGGTCAAACCCGAGAAATGCGAGTTCTGCCTCGGAAGGCGGGCGGGGAATGCCGGCGGTTCACCTTTGCCAATCAGCTCCATGTTGTAACAACCGGACTAATGCGCGGCCTGAATTCACCAGTCTGCCCTTATCAAGCTTAGTTGAATTAGATCATAGTGCAGATCTAGTATCTTCAACATGGTACAATTGTATTTGGGAAACTGTTGTCTTCTTAAATTCCCGTTTCTGACCGTTACTGCTACGTTGATATGGCGCATCGCGCAAGGACCGGCAGCGATGATCAGAATTTGCGATTTTCGAATAGTAATCTCAAATGCTCTGCTTCCGACTCTGGATTGGAGAAATCTCTGGGCTTTTCGCCCTCGCCCGTCGTTGCCGAGACTTCAGGTAATACCCATTGACATTATTTCTTTCCGAAGACGGGCACTAACCCTTTTCAGAAGACGGCCGGGTCAACATCGATCTCGACTCTCCGCTCACCAAAACTCTCTTGACTTTAGCAAGCAAGCGAGGCACTACGGAGAGTCAACATACTCTCAGTAGGCGATTCTCTGTACACCGAGCGTGGAAAATCAAATTGAACATCGTTGTGCAAGTAGTCGGGAGTCGTGGCGATGTGCAGCCTTTTGTTGCTCTTGGGAAGGAACTGCAAAGGTATGGGCATAGAGTGCGACTAGCTACTCACAATGTCTTCGAAACCTTTGTCCAAGATTCTGGTCTCGAATTCTATCCTATTGGTGGCAATCCGAAGGAGTTGATGGCATACATGGTGCAGAACCCGGGACTCCTCCCGAGCACGCAAAGTCTTCGTCAAGGTAACATCCAGAAGAAGCGTGCCATGGTTGCCGAGCTATTAGATGGATGTTGGAGCTCGTGTATCGAGCCTAATACAGCTGGCCAGCCCTTTGTCGCTGACGCAATAATTGCTAACCCACCAAGTTTTGCGCATATTCACTGCGCGCAAGCTTTGGGTATACTAATCCATCTCATGTTTACAATGCCATGGAGTAGCACTAAGGCTTTCCCACATCCACTAGCAAATTTCAGAGCCAGTGAGATATCACCTGCCATAATAAATCAGGTCAGTTATGGCATCATTGAATGGCTGACTTGGCAAGGGTGAGTCGCAACAAGGGGTATTCCAGAGTGCTGTTACTAATGTTGAGGTCAGACTCGGAGACATCATCAACAAGTGGAGGCACGCCTTGGATCTTGAACCAATTCCATCTACAGTGGGGCCTGTACTTGCGGAAGCCCTCAAGGTACCCTTTACGTACTGTTGGTCCCCTGCACTTGTTCCCAAGCCTTCTGACTGGGCAGAGCACATCGGTAAGTCCTCCGCATAGCTGCGCATGATATCATCTAATTATGACAGATGTGTGCGGTTTCTTCTTCCGGGATCCTCCTGATTATCTTCCGCCTCCAGAGCTTGTGAAGTTCCTCCAGGATGGCTCCCCTCCAATCTACATTGGGTTTGGCAGCATTGTCATTCAGGATCCTGTGAAGATGACAACAATGCTTCTTGAAGCTATCCGAATTTCTGGTGTGCGTGCGATTATCTCACGTGGATGGAGTGGACTAGGCGAAGGACTACCATCGACTGCTGATGTGTTATTTGTTGGTGGCTGCCCACATGAATGGTTGTTCCAGCGCGTTGCAGCAGTTGTGCATCATGGTGGAGCGGGAACCACCGCATGTGGACTATCGAATTCATGTCCAACTGTTGTCGTTCCTTTTTTTGGAGAGTAAGTGGCTTCATTGTCTCATCTGGATTTAAGCTGATGCTGTTTGATAGCCAAGCGTTTTGGGGAAACATGATTGCCGCCGCTGGCACTGGTCCGAAGCCTATACCACAAAAGGTACTTGACAGCGAGAATCTCGCAAAAGCAATATCATTCTGCTTGACCGAAGAGGCCAAGACTGCTGCGAAGATGATATCGCACAAGATGTTCACGGAGAATGGTGTAAAAGCGGCTGCACAGTCTTTCCACGCAAATCTCTCACACACTATGATACAATGCGACTTGATGAAGAATCATCCTGCGGCATGGAAATGTCGAAAATACGACATCAAGCTTTCGAAATTGGCCGCACAAATTCTTCTGGACAACGGCCTCATATGCTCTGCTAATCTGACTATGTGAGTGAATGCGTGCCTATCATGATTTGACAACGACTAAGACTACCAGACATCAAACCCGACCATTCAGCATCCACAACAATCGATGGGATCCCGTAACAAGTACCACTTCGGCTTACGTTTCTTGGCTTCATGACATGACCCATTCTTTGGTCGGCGTCGTCAGCTCGCCGATATTAGAACTACGACATTGCATCGCCGAAGGAGTAAATGGAGGCGCCACCGCGGGGCGCATAGCTACCGCATCAGCTAAGCAGATTGGAAGGTTCAACATGAGCATTGTGAAAGGCTTGGTCGACATTCCTTTTGCATGTGCTGAGGGTTTCAATGCGGTCCCCACGCTATATGGAGAGAAAGTTAGGGATCATGGGAATGTCAAGGACTGGAGCAGTGGATTCGCCGTCGCGGGCAAGAATTTTGCGTATGGCGTGACTGATGGTGTGACGGGACTTTGGATGCAGTCGTACGCGAATGGAAAAGCGGAAGGATCCATCGGTGTGGCCAAAGGCATTGGTAAGGGTGTACTCGGTCTTGGGAGTAAGCTTGCATCCGCAGGAATAGGCCTCGTGGGCTATTCTGGACAGGGTATAAGCAAAAGCATTCGTCACGCAGCAAAATCGCGGATGAGAAGAAAGATCGCTGCGGCGAAACTTGCAGAGAGCGCATACCTTGGAGAGCTTCATGCTACAGAAGAGGAGGTCCTGAATGTCGTCAATGCCTTCAAGCTCTTTCAGCAAAGAGAAACGGCATGATGTCGACGCTGATAGAATAGAAAGTAGGGAGTGCTGCTCCAAATGTAAGACGATTGATGTACCGGTATCCTTCAAGTAGATGCTGAGTCGACCGCTCAAGATAAAGAGGCCATTGTCGTTTGATATCGGTATCGGGAACCGACAAAATGTTTCAGTGCAGCGTACCATGGATTGTGTTCATACAACATTATGTCTCAAGTTATCAAAGTAATTCCTATGAAAGGCCGTCTTGACTCTTAACAGGAACATATAAAACCTGTATCAAGGAGGAATCCAACCAATCTCTTCCACAGCCCACTGGATCCACATTCGATGCTGATGATCTAACGATAACCAAACCCTCTCCATCATGTGTGTGGCCCATCCCTCAAGCCACCAACTCTGCTCTAGCTTTTTGATTAGAATCAAGAAATGAGCATATATAACCACTGCCTCCTGTCTTGGTACTGGCGCTTTGAGCAACGGGATAAAGTCTCCGGAAACTTCCCAGAGCAATAACAAAGCGTCCCATGCTTCAAGTCTAGGCGTCGGATAGCTAGTGCTTGATGGCAACGGATTACTGGCAGCGCCGTCATTGCCATAATCCTCGCTGTCGACGCTATTCAGAATCACCAGCGATAAGACACGGCGTAGAAGTTCGATGGTATTGTTGTAGATGGGCAGCAATTCAGGCTCCGTGCATGAGCTGTTCACAAGCGCCTGTAGATCTTGAAGGAGCGTCTTGCTATGAGGACGGGACGCGCCATGTAAGATCTGCCACTGCTGTCTACCGAAAGTGAAAAGAGGTACCAAGGGACCGTCGTAGTTGGCAGGGTTGAGAATACTCAGTAAAGGTTCGGAGCTACGGAGCATAGACAGCCAATCAGGGATCACGGATTCGCCGATGACCAAAGATTTGTATCCGCTCTTAGGGGAGCCAAGTGCTGAGCACGTCAGCCATCGCTAGTCTCTTATGAGTCGAAGCGAACAACTCACCAAAAAAAGAAGTAAGGGCTGAGAACAGATGCAAACTCTCGCAGTCTTCGGTTTTCAGATTTTCCGCGTTATTCATAAGTGTTACGGCTAAGCGATTAGCGACTTGATGGTGTCGCATGCTGATATTAGTGTAAAGCTCGCGCTTATCACAACGTAAGTGTGCGAGATGTAAAGCGGAAACAGCCAATATAGCCCGCATAAGGAGCTCAGAGCCGAACGCCATACGTGTAGCAGTTGTCCTGAATAAATGGCGAACTGTGGCATCATTTGAAAGAGTGGTGTGGGTAAAAGTTGTGAAGGTGTACATGAGCTCCAAGTCGATCATATTGAGGTCACCTGCTTGATAGACTAAGTTGATTCCCGCTAATGGGGAGGACTGTGATTGAACGCTTGTCTGATGCGCGGGAGAGGAGAGATCTATGTCAGAAGCTTGACCTCGCAAGAAGTCGCAAATGACTGCGTGTTTGATGCAGTTTCGGCATGATGGTCGCTGCTCATCACACTGGGAACGTCAGGGATTTTTTTTTCTCTACCAAATGGTGGTGTAGAGTATAGCACAATGTTGTTACATACCTTGATCTTCCTGGATTTACACGTACTACAACCCAACTTCGACTTTGCATGAGTCCGCCTGTTTTTTGCCGAACTCGAACGGACTTGGAGTCTTGTGCATGCCCCTGTGGAGTCGTCCGGAGTCTGTGCTGGCGATGGCGACATGCTAAGGGTGTGAGGGCTGCTGCAACGTTGCGAAGTCTCGGGTTCTGCGAGGTCAGGCTCGCGTTTTTCAAGGATTTTCTCGGGTGAGACCCGAGCCACCTGAGGTTTCCGAAGTTTCGGGGGCATCTGTTTGGCGATAGGTCTATTAACCTAAAGCGGATTGGCGGATCTTGGCGAAACTCAGAATTATCCGAATCGTGGCTGCAGTTGCCAACCCTTCTTCATCACATAACGTCATGCTCGCAAACCCTTCTCGTGGGTATCCTTACTACTAGCGCGAAAGACAGAGACTGAAACGGGACCGTCTTGCGAAGCATGATTTGGTTTCTCTCGCCGCAGGCGTTTGCTGCCGTTATGCCGGTGGTCGGCCTATGTTCGATAATCTCCTTACTACGCTAACTTTAGTTACGAAGTGTGTCATTCGCTAATGATTATCTATATTCGGCAGACTCTCGTAAATTTTGACAGTCCGTTCTTAGTTAGTCTTACCCCTAAGACTGATTCTGACACAATCTGGAAAACTGCCGTATGGTGCTTTTCCATCCGGTCTCAAGCAATCGTACATCTCGCGTAACTATTGTTTGCCAACAGCGGTCATGACTGAGCCTACAAGCCGAGTAGCCATAAGGAGATCACACAAAAAAAGTCGATCTGGTTGCTTCCAATGTAAAAAGCGGCACATCAAGGTAAGTTGTACCAATATATGTGCGCTGATAACAGGTGCAAGCTTACTAGAAGCCGCCTTGAACTACCGTGCAAATCTAACAAGCGCCCAAGAGATTCATGCTGATTGGTTCCAGTGTAACGAACGGCGGCCAAAGTGTGCGGGTTGTATACGGTCAAACGTCCAATGTACCTGGCCAGATCTAAAATCGAGCCCTCCTCAGACTGTCCGTCATGTACCCGATCATTACACTTCTATTATTCTAAAGAAGTTGTCGTCCGAAGTTCCATGCATTTCTGAACTAGAAACAAAGAGAGAATTCTCGCTCTTGGACCTACGTTTGCTAAACCACTGGACATCAGAAGGTTGCAAGGCAATGCGTCCAAACTCCTTCGTTGACGACAAAAACTGGCCTGATCTTTTTCTACAAGTCGCCTTCGACCACCCGTTCCTCCTACATGGCTACTTGGCCATGTCCGCGCTACACATAGCTGATTCCGACTCGAACCTAGACAAAGCCCTGTATCTTGATCGAGCAAACTCCCACATCTCACGAGGTTTGGAAACCTACAGGTCGCATATCGCTTCACCATCTCTCGAGGCTGCAGTCCCGATGTTCATGATGTCTGCAGTCCTGTTCACTTACAATCTTAGCTCCTCCCAGCTCCAGCAACCGGAAGATCCTATCGCTACCATCAACCACTGTTTTCGGCTATTGGCAGGCGTGCAAGTTGTCTCCAATTTATTCTGGGATCAGCTGAAAGACAGTGAGATATTTGTGCAGATATCAGATCTAGCGGAGGGCGATGAGGTAGAGACTCTCGATATGCATGCTGAGAACGAGCATGTCTCGGAGATCTTAGATCTGAGAAGATTGACGGATACTGGCTGCAGCGTACAAGACAAGGAGTCATATCTACGCGCTATTAGCGAACTCCATGTAGCATCGTTGCGACTCCGACATGCGTCTCTTCGAAGCAACGAGTACTCCTTAGTTCTCGGGTGGATCACGCGAATCGAGGAGCACTTTATGGACTTGATCGGCTCATCCGAACCGATTGCGTGCGTTATTCTGTGCTACTTTGCAGCATTGTTAGCACAAGGTCGTCCTGTGTGGTGGATTGGGGCGTGGCCAGAATGGCTTCTCAATGCATCTGAGAGACTGTTGACAACTACGGCACCAGAACTACTGCATTGGCTAGATTGGCCACGGCAAGTCATACATTCGAAAAGACTGAGCGTCGCACCGATGCCTACCCCACCTTAATGGTTGAATATCAGGCTGCTGTCGCCTAGGACTCTCAATCCCATAGCCACTTTTTTTTCCACGGTACCAGAGTTGTATAGCAGATTTTTTCTCACTGCATAGCTATCCGTAGACTAGCATCGACAGGTTTACCATAGACAAAATCGATCATTATTCGTGAGTTCGAGCTTCCTAGTATGCCGTGTGAGCTTGGGGGTCGTAAATGTCGCATGAATCGAGAAAGGATTGCCAAGTACAAGTTGCAGAGGCTTGGAAACCTCGTAGTCAAACTACTAAGAATGCAGTGCGTCCATTTAGATCACAAACGCAAAGGGACATACACGAAAATATACCAGCCTCGACAGACATGCGTCACGGAGCAAGCCGTGATCTCGGAAAGCGTATATTTGGAGTATTTTCTCTAGCGTCTAACCTGACTCCTGCACGCTAACCCTCGAAAGAACCTCCAGATTCGGACGCTATAGGATACGATACGATGTACACAGACCTCCACTCTACTAGTGCGGCGAGGTGCGCTAGGGTATGCGGTATACACCCAACGTCTCGGGTAGGGCACGGCAAAACCACGTACATATATATGTATGGACAGAGAAGTCTTTTCTCGATCAAAGCATACTTTCTTCACCACGACCCTGAAAATCAGGGCTTTCCATCTTCTTCTCTTTGCATCTTTCTTCTTCTCTCCTGCACCGCCGCTCCTGCTCGCCGTAATCCGCAATCATGGCCAATGAACCCCATCCTTCAATAGACGACCCAAACGCCTACGTCCTGTATCGATATGTGCCCTCGAAAGTGGCAGCAATAATCTTCGTCATTGCGTTTGGCCTTACGACATGTCTTCATGTCTTCCAGCTCGTTAGGCGGAGGACTTGGTATTTTCTACCTTTGGTCATCGGCGGTATCTGTGAGAAAATATCCCTGTCTTTCTGATTCCATACACAAAAAGCTGACATGTTTTATCTAGTCGAGACTGTAGGATTTGTTGGCCGCTTTCTTTCGAACAAGGACATTTGGGCTCTGGGACCTTACATCATGCAGTCGCTACTCATCCTGGTCGCTCCTGCTCTTTTTGCGGCATCGATATACATCATCCTCGGTCGGATCATGCTTATGGTAGATGGCGAGAGGTATTCTCTTGTTCGGCAAAAGCGCTTAACGAGGACTTTTGTCGCCGGAGATGTTCTTAGCTTCTTTATGCAAGGTGCTGGTGAGTTAAGACACAACCTCGCAATTCTAGTTGAATTGGTATACTAACACAGTCACAGGTAGTAGCATTCAGTCAATGGGAACGATGGAGGATGTACACAAGGGTGAAAAGATCATCGTCGGTGGTCTGATCTTCCAGCTGATCTTCTTCACCCTGTTCGTCGTAGTCGCCGGCGATTTCCACCGTCGACTCATAAACGACATACCTGTCAAGAAGCGATATGGTCCACGGACACTTCTCCAGAAGCTCCGCCCAAACTCGCGCGTCGACTCCTCATTCACTGCCGTCGCCCTCCTCCCACGATCTGCCGTCAACGAACTCCCTTGGAAGCGCCACATCTATGTTTTGTATGGAACAAGCGCACTTATCCTTGTTCGAAACGTTTTCAGGATCGCGGAGTACATTGAGGGGAACGCCGGTCACCTTCTGAGCCACGAGGCTTACCTATACATCTTCGACGCCTTGCTCATGCTGACGGTCATGTGCTTGCTCAATTGGATTCACCCAAGTGAGGTCACGGATCTATACAACAGACGTCAAGCGGCCTCGTTAGTCGAGCTTCGAATGTCTGCGTCATCTCTCGGACAGCACGATACCAGCTACAGTAAACCTAAAGCAACAGTCCAAAGTATGGTGTAGATTTACGCTAGTACCATCAATGATCAGCGTCAGGACTGGGAGTTGATTACACTAGGGCTGTGTTGTTTGCCATATCTTATAAATTTGTTGGAGTCATCATGTTAGATGGTTTTTCCGGTTTCTTATGTCTGTTTCTTATGTTGGCAATGCAAGGTAGCGAGTTATAGATGACGAAGAAACTACATTCTATTGTTATCATGTTGATGTACAACCTTTGGGTATGGGTCAAACTACTGACGTTTGGGCGTATGACCGAGCAGGCGTAATATACAATTGACCACTTCACCATTTCACAGCTTATGATCTTCTCCATTCGGTGCCAAGAGCACATCTCCGCCCCACCCCGTCCCCTTCTCCGCCAAATCCATCGCTTCCTCCATCCGCTCGAGTCCGAATGTCCCTGCAATTTTCAAACCGACCGCATCCCCCAGGATGACATTGCCGTTTTCAATCATGCGAATAAATGCCTCGAGCTGTTGTCTAGTGTATCCCATCTGGCCCCTTACTGTGAGAGAGTTGAAGAGGATAGTGCGGTAGTCAAGTGCAATATCCGTATAAATGCCGCCTTCAAGGACAAGCTGACCCCCCCGCCTGAGCGCGTTGATACCAGCTGTGATGTGTGGTGCTGTCGTCGGTCCTGATGCCGCTGGTGGGGAGAAGTCCATGTATACGTGCGCTCCTTTACCGCCTGTCGCGTGCAGTAGGGCTTGTTGATCCTTGGCCACGTCGCCAACAAGCTCGACCAGCTTGATTCGCTGCCTTGCTCCAGGAAGTTGATACAAGTGCTCAAGCTTCCGCAGGTCCCGACCTGCGGCAACAACCCTCGCGCCCAGCGCTAAGGCAGTGAAGACGGCAGAACCGGAAAACTTGCCAGAGCCAGGCGCAACAATGACGGTGCTGCCCGGTCCGACACCTGCAGCTTCAAGGCCTCCGAAGCCTACGAGGTGCAAGTGCAGCATCGCTAGGTCTTTGAAGTGATAGCCAAGACCACCTTCCTCCTTGCTTTGGAAGAGAGACGGAGGTAACTGAAAGCAATTCTCCATCGGAACAAGAGCCTTTTCGGAGTAGCAACCATTGCTCCAGATCTCTTAACTCAGTTTCTTTGCACCGGGTGTTGAACCCTCAATGAGAGCCAACAAGACTTGTGTCTCTGGATCGTCGCGGGCGGTGATGGTCGAATCAACCCACACGACGTCCCCCGCCTTGAGACAAGTAGCATCTGGCCCGACTTCCAGGATGCGGGCAATAGCAGCAGTACCTGGCGTGTATGGCGTCTTGCTTGGGTATGGAGGTTTTCCTTTGAAGATGTCGCGGGAGTAGGGAAAGAGATCTGCGTACAGAATTTTGACGAGAGCTGAACCCATCGTGACTGGGGGATCGGGTAGAGTTCTGACAACAAGCGGTGCGCTGTGAGCTTCCAGCACTAGGGCCTTGTGTGTCGACATAGTGGATGTTGGTTTGGAGGGTGGGGGCGATGGTGTTATTGCGGGTCTAGTAATGGTGTTGAAGTTCAGAGCTGGAAGCGTGCATCTTCAACATCCTGCGAAAAGCTCTTTATAATATTCTGAATGTAATATGCGAAGACTATTAGTAATGTGCCTCGTAGGTAGGAAGCTTGGATGTCTGGCTCGAAGCAGGCCTAGAGGGAGGACGAGGATACATCAAAACAAGGGTAGGCTTGTGCTGCAGGTACGACCGAACAAACTAGATGAGTTAGGCGCCGCCCGGCTTACTTCCATCGCGAGGGTCTTGTTACGTGCAGGAGAGGTGATTCATCAAGCGCAGTATGTCGCCTCTAGTGCTGACTGGTTCTCGCGATGGAGAGAGGGCATGCGAAGAGGCAAAAACTGTGTAACCCGTTTCATATGACAGAAAGAACCTACAGAGCCCAACCCAACCCATGCCGCTAGAAAAGAAGGCAGAAATTCTGTTAACCATGCGTAGCTCCGAAAAGGCACAAATTTTGTTGTAACGACCACGCCTTAATGTCGCCGAAGAGTAGTCTGAGGGAAGCACCGAGCAGGCGCCGCTGATGACGTTTCAAGTTCCGCGCGCCCCTCCCGCACCTCCGCACTTGACTCCGCACCTGCGTCCGCATCTTGACTTCCGCCTCCCGCACCACTCCAGCACGTGTCCTGACTTTCGGGATGAACAACTCAGCGAGACCACCACATCCGGCAAGGCAGGCGTGCTTGCGCTGCAAAGCCCATAAGAGAAGATGCGACAGATCACAGCCCCAATGTTCCATATGCAAGCGGTAAGAAGGCGGATTACGCTGTATGGCCAACGCCACCCATTGCCTTCACTTATTGCTTGCAGGCTTTCTCAAAACTGCCGGTATACAAGTCCTGCGCCGCAGGTCATTTCAGTCCCAGACGTTGAGAACGCGCTCTCGCCGGCCGGCGTGAGATTAGCCATGATGCGTGCGCTGACAAAGTTCGAGCCGGGAATGGTTTCCTCGATATACAGCCGAGCTGTATATCCGTGGTTTGCGTTCATACCGGAATCCACGCTCTGTGATCAGATATCGCAAGCGTGGTGTGATGCCGATGTTAGTTCGCTTTTTCTCGCGGTTACAATATTACTTTTCGGGGCTCGTCCAGAACAATTAGGAAAGGAGAATAGACTCCCGCCTGATGTGACTTCGAGGTATCTGCTGAGCAAATCTTGGTTTGGCTTGCTGGAGGCCGCTGGAATTATCTCGACGAATATTGTTAGATCAAGGGTCTTGATCACCCTGTTTGAGGCGGTTCATGGATTCTACCCTGCGGCTTATCTATCGATAGCTGCTACAATCAGAGCTGCAGACGCGTTAGCTATTTACGGCAACCAAGAGGTCTCATTGAAGTCCTCGTTGGACATGGTAGTTAATGTTGATGGCGAGGATGATACGGATCTTTGGCGTGCCATTACGATATTAGACAGGTGCGTGGAGCGGCCGGATGACCAGCTACCGTTACCTGTGAGAGTGTAGCGTTCCATACCCGCTAATCCGCGATTGCAAATCCAGGTATCTAGCCATTGAACACGGAAAATGGCCGCCCATTACGCGAGGCCGTCCAAGTCCAGGCTTCCAAATCCACACCAGTAGCAATACCAACGCAGCAGCGTTGTCGTTTCACAGGGCGTTCGAAGCGTCGAGCCACCTAGACAAAGCCCACACAGCCGTCTTCGACCCTACAGGCGAGCAGCCCTTCAACATCGAGGAAGCAAGCCTCATAATAGGCACTCTGGATTCCTTCATCCGTGTCGTTGAGAGCGAGGTACCGCGAGTGCCAGGACTTTTTCCTAGCGGTCTGGTGTTGGCTAATACGTCAGATCCCCCTTCCTCATGTCCTTTTCCTCAGTACATTGCGCTGATTCTATTAGTGGCCTTTTTCTCCTTTTCGAGAACGGCATCATGGCAAGCGGATATAACGATGCTACGGAACGCTGTCGTATCGGGTCAGCTGCCCGCTTAGAAGGTCTGATCGACAGCCTCCTGGAGTCCGTGGGGAGGCTCAGTCAGGATGGGATTGCTAGCGAGGGGCAAACTGTCTCGCCATTTGCCGCCTACCTGCTGTACAGGACTGCGGTTGTTTTGACGAAGAGAGCACAGTGCGATATTGAGCCTAAGCAGAGCCTAACGAGGCTCCGGGGTCTGCGTAAATATCTGAGGTTGATGGGGCAAAGATGGCAAGCTGGAGGTGAGCAGACGGGTTTTTCTTCGTTTTCATTTAGGTCCGCGATCTTAATGGTGTGCAGAGCGGTACCTTCGACTATTGAACGACGAAACTACGCCGAAGATGCTAAGGATCATCGAGACTTGAGGGAGCGATATTTTCCATTTGGCTTCACAGGCTGTAAATCCATACACATACCACGCGCCTTTCCAGATGGACGAAAATCCTTCCGCCCATCTATTCATCCCATCACTAAAGCGCGCACACCCCTCATAGCATCTTCCCCCTCTTCCGCCTATGCACAACCCACCTCCTCCCAACATCATAAACCGCCCTAGTCCAACTCGTAATAATCTTCCCCTCAAACGTCCCACTAACCCAGCTAAACAACACAAGCAACGCAACACTCAATCCGAAAATAATCCCAAAGCTGTTCCAATAACTCCTCATTTCAAACTCCAGGTCCTTGAATTGTATGCTAAAGTACCCCGTCATGAGCGTCACAGGCGTGAACAAGATTGTTATCTTGGCGAGGAGGAGCGTGACCCAGGTAAGGCGTTCGACGGAAAAGGACTCTTTGATGGCGATGAAGTTGAAGTTCATCATCACCAGCGACTCCTTTTGGTCGAGACATTCTTGGATTTCGGAAAGTGCGTACAGCAGGATACGGTCTTTTAGCCGTTCAAACCGGACGCGCGCTGCGGAACTCAGTGCGACGCCGAGTAAACTGTCAGCTTCCGGTACGAGCGGACCAGGCGCGTCGTTGATTACAGGGTGCGACGACACGAGTGACGCGTTGCCGGAGAGGATACGAGAGTTCTTCAGGCTAGCCAGGGTAGTTTCTTGTTTCTTGAGGACGCGCTCGATGATGAGCTCGTAGCTTTAGTATACGCGTTTCAAGACAGCAAGTTGGCAGCCGATGTGGTGGAGTTGGTCGACGTGAGTCAGATTCGCTTTTTGCAGCATTTCCTAGCGGAGGCGGTCGAGTTCGGCGGCATAGCCGTGGTCGCGCCGGGAAATGAGATCGAAGGTTGCGCCCCAGTCTTCGAAGAGGTAGTAGAAGAGGAGGCCGGGGGCGTCGGTGGGACGGTGCGCTGTCTCTTCGTCGCTGCTGCCCAGGCGTTGGCAGATGGGGAGTTGTGCAAGGGCTACGTCGCGGAGCGGGGTTAGTGCTTTGGTTAGTTGGCGGAAGACGTTAACTAGGTTGCGGCGGGATGTGAAGAGCGTCCTGAGGTCGTCTTTGTTTAGGGGACCGTTAGCGAAGGGGAAGGGATCTTCGGAGATTAAAATTACGGTTTTGTCTTCGCAGAGGAGAAGCCAGTTCCATACGCGCTTGCCGTGGGGTACATCTCGGCTTCTGTCTGCGATGTGAGGGTAGGTATTCGTTTCTTTACTGTGAACGTTGTGAAGTGAGTTGTAGCCTATGCACATATCTGTGGCACCGTTAGCAGAGCTCTTGGGCGGTGATTAGAACTTGTGCAATATCAGCCTGTCTCCTCGGGTCAGCCAGGTGCGACTTACATCTTCGACCTTAGTCCACTGTGCTCCAATGCCAGACATTGTCGACCAGCTGGTAGTGACTCAAGTCCCGGACCAACTCTAGCTGTGTGGATTGCATCATCTCAGTCATGCCGATACTCGACTCTGAGCAGTGTGTCCAACAACCAAGTAACTTACTTGGTTGACATCAGGGCGCTAGAGCACTACAGTGGGCCGGACTAAATTAGTTGGAACCTTAAGCACCGACGTGCAACACCGCCCAATCACTTCAAGACGATCTGCTTACGTTAAAGCAACCGGTTGAACCGGCCGGTCCAGAGGGTCCACATTTTCTTGGAGCCCTGGTGTCAACCAAGTAACTTACTTGGTTGATGGACACACTGACTCTGAGTCCATAACCTCTTCATTTGCCCGTTTCACCTTTTCCTTGATTGAGCTGGACTTGCTAGATGCGTGCGACAACATCGATCTCAATGTTGAGGAGCTCTTCTTCATGCGCAATGTTGAGTTGTTTCTGGGCGGTATGTGGTCACTCTGCATCATGCCCAGTTATCGTGGCGTGAAGTCGAAATGTGAGGCCAGCGTCCGAATGAGGTCTTTCTGGTTGTAAGGCATCCATATATTGATCCATCGCGTGTGTAGCTCGGTCGGTCGTGGCGAGTTGAAAAGTTTCTCGTATGCTTGTGCGTCGAGGTCGAAAGCGCAAAAGGCGTCATCCTCACCAAAGTCGATACAGAAATTACTGCTTTTGTGCTCTCGTGTTTGCCGATCGAAGAGATCGAAGTTACGTTCTGAGTCAAAGTCACGGAAACAGTATTGGATGTTTTCGTCCCCTGTGTCTTGATAGTATGCAGGCAGTTGTTCGGCAGGCGACGCGGGCCGAAAAGTATGTGCCATAATGTGTGAGAAGAGGTTGTGAAGGTTGTTGAAACGTTTTTGGATGATAGTGATAAGGATAAGTGATCTGTTTGGGCAATGAGAAGTCTCCGATCAGCTGGGCTGGTGATGTGAGCTCGTGCTGTGTTCTTTTTGGTTATGAGTCGTGTGTACGTCCCCAGATCATCAGGTCACGCGGTGCGGTTGAGGCTCATGCCGGCAAGATGTCTCACCTTCCAGTAAGCTAAGAGGTTCGCAGCTGCCTGTGCAACCTCACTTTTCTTACAACGATAGGTTGTACTTAAACTGTAAAGACTACGCTACAGGTATCTGGTGGGGTTACGCATTGTACTTGAGGGGTATGTGACACACCACAAAGACCTCTAAGGAACGTCTTGCGGAGGTGCGATCTCACCGTTCTACATGGCGACAGTACGAAGAGTACCTCTTCTTGTTTGATGTTGTTGAAGTGCTTGAGATGCCGTAGTAGAAAGAAGCATGAATAGGGCTGGGCTATTAGATGGTAGAGCATTCCGCACCGTGAATAACAGTGGTCGATTCTGTGTCACATCATCCAAAGAATTGGGTTGGTTGATCCCGTGAGATAATGGTTGCGAAGCATTCATGGCTTAGACGGATGATGATGACTTGTGTCGCGTGGTGCAAATCGAGACGGGACCTCACCCGACTGAAATATGGGGATGGAGATTGTGGTCGTCTCCTAATGGCTCGGATCTTGGCTTACCCAAACAGGCAACTTCGATCAACCATCGAAGACGATAGGGTTATGGTGAAGACACTCAACCCTTTCTTGATGACGTCAAGCTGGACTTGATGTTGAGAGTGAAGAGTGGATACAATAGAAGGGAAACACGTCCATATGACATGGTCACCGCGCAGTCTCATACAACTCGAGATGATAGCTGAAATAGGCAATTAAGAGACTCGTCGATTGCTGTACCTTGAGGGTGAAAATAACAACTCATCGACTAGGCATCCTTTTGAGTAGGTACATTGTAAGTAGATTGTGTGTATTCTTCTTCATCACCGAGAGGTCTGTGATCTAAGCTTATATACATAGAGTAGTGGGCTGATTGGTCGCTGGATAATCCACGTGACCATGCAAGGTACCCTGGGCTTACACACCTCCCTCAGGTTCGAACGTATGTAGAAGCTGATGTGATCATAGGCCACCCCCTACCCTGTTCAGGTAGAGCTGCTTGTTTGAGTGCGGTGGGTAGCCGCTTGATTAGAGCAGTTCCAGGTGGGGATCGTCCGCCGTCGCGGTGTTGGTTGATCTCGCTGATGAGCGTCCTCAAAAGCATATAAGATCTAATTGCCTCTCGCTCTGTATAGAGGTTAGTAGTACCCCTAACAAACATAAAAGTAAAGAGCGTAAGGAGTACAGCCTCATTAAACCTGTAAAAACCGTGTAGGAAAAACCAGGAAGAGTACTGTACATTGTAGAGCTCATAATTTAGGAAATGTGTTGAAATGCAAAAGTGATACCTAATTTTCGTGTCTCTAACGAGGCAACAGTTTAGTTAGACCATCTGCTAGCTAGCTTTTAGTCTATATGTATGAAAGATTAATGTTGTGTGCTTGTGCTTCCTAGCGAAGCCAGTGATGATGTATATCGACGTGTCGCAGTAAGGTCTTAAGTCGTAGCGTAGCCGTAGTAACTAGACAAATTGTCTGCTAGTTGTCACAAAACAGTATTTGCTCATTGCCTAGATCGAATTCGATGTCCTTGAAGAGTCTCCACCACCAGAGAAGCTCAGTGCCTGCTAATAAAGCAGCAACAAGCTTAGCTTTAGTAGTAGACTTAGTAACACATCGTTAAAGTGTCGCTTTCTAGTTAATAGGGCCGCCAAACAGGAAGAATATATAGCCTTAAGAGCTTTTCCGTGTAGCCTTATAGTCTGCGTATAAGGCGTCGGTTGCACCAAAGAAGTCTAGCTCATCGTAATCAACGATGTAAGCGATGTCGGTAGATATAGAAGCATCGTAGTAGAGCGCTTAATCCTTTGTTGCGTATAGATAGGCAAGCGTCTAGTAAGCAGCGTTAATGTAAAGCTAACCTAGATTAACTAGAAATTCTGCCAATTTTGAGTAAGCTTTAGAAACATCAGGTCAAGTAGCAGTGGCAACATAGCTAATTAATCCAACTAGTTGTGCGTATCTAAGTTTGTTAGAATCGCTCTTTAGTTCGTCTAAAGGAAGCAGTTCGTTAAGTAGAAGCGGAGTAGCTAGAGGTCGATTGAATGACTTTAGTGATAGATACTTAGCACTAAGCTTGTCAAAGTATGCTGCTTGTAATAGCCACATTGTTCTAGTTAACCTGCAGCGATGCGTCTGTATACCGCAGAAGGTGGCTAGCTCCCCAAGCGACCAAATCTCGTAGCGTCGCAGCAGCTTGCGTTCAAAGTCGTTAAGAGCAGCTGTGTAAGCTAGTCTAGCGAGGATAACAATGTCGTTAACGTAGAAGAATACTATTAGTTTGTCGTTCTTCTATAGGCATAGTGCATCTTTAACTTCTTACAATCTAAGCTCTTTAAGAGTCTTTGTAAGTTCTTTGTACTATAGGAGTAGCGAGGTTTTCAAGCTATACAGCGCACGGTGCAGTTTCCAGAGATAGTTAGGGTTAGAGAAGCCTTCTAGTAGATAGCAGTATACTAGTACAGCAAGCTGAGCATTCGTGAAGGCGTTTACTGCATCGTACTATCAAACCTCTATGTTGAAGTAGGCTGCAATAGCCATCAGAGCTCGAAATATCCGGATAGCTAGTGTGGCAGCGTACGTATCCTCAGCCGTGGTTTGAAGATCGCCTCGTACGCAGATTCGAGCCTTGTACTTAGTAAGATATCCTTCACTGTCAAGCTTGTATTTGAATACCTAGAGCAGTGGCAGGACCTCGTGGTCTTAAGCGTTGAAGTCCTTCCAGTTGATAATCCTGTAGGTACCTTTGCGCTTAACGTCAGATATTTCGCGGTGCATAGCTGCTATAAAGCCTTGCTTGTGTTAGGCTAGTAGCTTCATCACATCCTAGTAGAATCGAGGTTTAGGGGGAAGATCTGTGTGATGAAATCGCGTTTTAGAAGCTGTAGTGGATGCCGCTACAAAGGCAGACTAATATTTGTTGACGAAGAAGCTGCTGCTTTTGCGAGAAGGCTTTTAAGCTCGTGTTGATCCTTTAGGAAGGATATGCGTTTCGTGTAGGTTGCTATCGATTAGCTCGCGGTTTCGTGCAGCGTTTAAATAATTCGTGTTAACTGCGTTGTCTCGCTTACGCTTCCTTAATGTTTAAGTAGAAGTTTAGAGGTCTAGTGTAGGGCTGCGACTAAGAGTAGCTAATAAGGCTTAATTAAGTAAATTAGTATCTAAATTAGGAGAGAGTGTAGTAACTAGTGTTAGCAAAAGAGGATCGCTGTTAAACGGATCGTGAGGCTTCGAGTGATTATCTAGAGGCGACCTGAATACTGTTTGGCACAGTCCGCAACAAGCAAGTCAAGCAATCTTGAGGTCGTCGATTGACTTGCTTGTTAGCGACGTCGTCGTCGCTTAATTATTGCTTGATTGTTAGTGTTTTCGGGCAGCTTAATTGCGACTTAATTAGTAGATTAATTAGATTAGACGCTAAAGGATCAAGTTGTATACAGCTACAGTGGCTTATCAGCCCACTCGTCTATATTATAGTCTTGTATAATATCCTCATCTAGTACGTCGTCCCCGTCGTTATAATAAGTCTTAAAGCCTGCTCTTATCCACGATCGTATTAACTAAAGAGCAGCTAGCAACTCACTACTAATAGCTCGTCGCTTAGGCTTAAGTAGGTCGCTAAGCTTACTAAAGAGCCTCTCACACTCGCAGCTTAATGCTAGAATTGTTAGTATATCGATCGCAAACTAGCTTAAACACGGGTATTTTGAGCGCATCTGTATCTAGTAAACGACAGGGTGACTATTACCTAAGTACTGCTCTCTGCTCCACTCTAGCTCTTAAGTCCTCTAGCGCTCGTACTCGTCGTCGTAAGCTGCTTTATGCATAGTGTTGTTGCGGCGTATAAAGGCGCTAATTACGTTATCTATACTACGCGCAGTCGTTGTTGAAGTCAGTGGAGGTTAGGGGCGTATACGCTAAGGTCTATACGACTGCCAGAGTCGCTGAAACCTAGCGTTAGCGGCGGTGAGCTACTCTAGCTTGTCAACCTAGCTGTTCTCGCAGTAGTACTTGTAGTATAGATAGAGGCAGGCAGCAGCGTAGTAGGCAGGCGATCGATTAAGCTTATCGTAGTACTCGTTAGCCTTACGCCAAGCAGCGCGTAGGTTGATATTAAGGTAGTCCTCTAGCGCGTTGGTGTGGTTAAAATCGACTTGCTTGTATTAGCGCGTACGAGCTTCGAGTGAGGTGAGTACGTACTTAAAGACAGGTATAACTTCGTATATAGCACCAAATTTGCCTGCTTTGCCTCGACCTTTAAGCCGCTCCGTAGCAACCTTAAGCGGCTTAAGGCAGTCCTAGTACTCTGTTATTACTGCCTAATCAGCAGCTGTAAGGCTAGCTGATCTTATCCAACTTAGAGCGTCTAAAGGCTTGTTGCTAGCTTGATTTGCGCGTCTATCTTTAAGAGAGATGCGACTAATATAGTGCTTAGCGTAGGCGTTATAAGCAGCTTAAAGTCAAGTTGCACGTGCAAAGGAGGCGTAATACGAGTTCTAGCGAGTAACAACAGGCTTAACTAGCTTAAGCGTTTAGAGGCGCTCTCTAGCAGGCAATTTAGCGTTAGCAGCGCTTTAAAATTCTCTAAAAAGCTTATACTATTATAGTGTTTTGATAAAGTTAATAACGTCAATTAGTACGCCTAACGGCCTATCTTTACGCTACTCGCGCATGTATAACTGCTCTGTATTAAGCTGTTTAGTAGCGTTGTTGTAAGCCTCGCAGTCCTTACTAAATATTATTGCCTAGCTAATAAGATTAAGCGTGTGAGGGCTACAACAGAGGCGTCAATAAGTAGCATT